GGTTTTTTTAACCTTCTTTGCAAAATGTGGCCAGCCAAATTACACTTCCAAATGGCTCTAATGTGAGTTAAAGGGACACTTCAGTATTGAGGTTGAGCAGCATTTTTTATTCAGCAGCGTTGTTTCAATTTGGGAGCAACTGATCAAAAATGTACTGATAAAGGGTGATTCATGTAACATGATTGTTTTAGTGAAGTATTTAATTATAATTGCTCTTCATTATGGGGTCTCCTTCAAACTAATTAATGCTGAACGGCATTATTTCTCTTTCTTTTGGCATTGTAATAATTTCTTTGCAGCGAGCATGAGGAAGTGAGTGTTGGTTTATTACAGAATCTGAATGTATAACTGTGTTTGAAGAAAAGTGCCATTCAGGTGGCTGAGTTTATACAAGGCCAACTATAGTTTAAGCTGTTTTTGTTGGATTTTAGCAAGGCTTTTGACACAGTCCCACATGACATTCTGATAAGTAAGCTGGCGAAATGTGGGCTCGGTGGAACTACCATTAAGTGGATACATAATTGGCTAAACAACTGCAAATAAAGAATAACTATTAATGGAATGATGTCAGATTGGAAGGAGGTCTCAAAAGTGGAGTTCCACAGGGATCTGTTCTGGGTCTGGTGGTGTTTGACATATTAACAATGATCTGGATGTAGGAGTAGAGAGCATACTGATCAAATTTTCAGATGAGACAAAGTTGGGGGTTGCAAACACGTTGGAGGATAGAGTACTTTGGAAGATAGAGCTAAAGTTAAAAAGGATCTTGATGAATTGGAGAACTGGGCTATAGACAAGAAAATGAAATTCAACAAAGACAAAGATAAGGTGCTACTCTTAGGGAAGAAAAACCAAATACACAGATACAGAATGGGGGAAGGATCTGGAAGTTGTGGTGGATCAAAACCTCAACAGCAGTCAACAATGCAATGTTGTTGCGAAAAAAGCAAAGGCAATTTTTTGTTGCATGCTATGCCTCTGTTTTGGGTGCTTAATTGTGCAACCATAGCATTGCATGAATGTAATTTTTTTTGTAATTAATTACTTTGGGGGGTTTGTTTGTGTGGGGAAGCTACCACTTTACTAAGAGGCACCAATCAATAAAGGTGACTGGTTCCCAACAGAATTACTAGTAAATTGTATACTTTAAGATTAACAGAAGCCAATAGGTCAAAGGAAAACTATTGTCTGCTAGTTTTGCAGGCTAAATTTGTATTTCCATAACTGCATATGTTCTATATAATCCATTAAAAAAGCCTAAAGGTAGCATAAGTGCCTTCCACTGAAGTATTAGACTTTCTCAAGTTTCATTCATTTATTCTGAATCCTAACTTAAAAATCAAAGGGTGGATCTGATTAAAACAGAACTGAGGTTAACTATTGTTAGTTTTGCCTAGTCCTCATTAAGAACATTGTTTGGAATTTGAAAGACATGACATTCATCCACAACAAAGTGTACAGTGTTGCTGTCTTTTGCATAACTGTAAATCTGGCTATTAACAATTGCTAGTACTTGTTAAACTTTATGTTCCCGGGTCATGAGCTAATTGTGCTTCTCCTAAAACAGGTGAATTGTTTAAGAACACCTTACTAGATGCCCAAAAAGCCACAATCGAAGAAGGCGGCTCTATTGGTTAAAAAAAACCAACCTGGTTTAGAGAGGAAGTGAAGGAAGCTATAAAATTTAATTAAAAAAAATGGAAGAAAGGGAAAGTTGCTAATAATAAATATAAATTAGAAGCTAGGAATTGTAAAAAATTGCTTAGGCAAGCAGAGTTAAGGACAATAAGATTTGTTTTTTTAAGTATATTAGGAACAAACAAAAAAATCCTAACAATAGTTTTGGTCCATTACTAGATGGAAATGGTGAAATTGTCATAAATAATTCAAAAAAGTTCTGTATTTGGGGGGAAAACATGTGAAGTAGTCATATCATGTGATAACACTCTTTCCATTCCACTAGTATCTCAGGCGGATGTTAAACAGTAGCTACTAAAGTTAGACATTTTAAAATCAGTAGATCTGGATAACTTGCATAAGAGAGTTTTAAAAGAGCTGGCTGAGGAGCTTGCTGCACGGTTAATGCTGGGTTTTCAATAAGTCCTGGAACACTGGGGAAGTTCTAGAAGACTGGAAGAATGTTAATGTTGTGCCAATATTTAAAAGGGGTAAATGGGATGACCTGGGTAATTATAGGTTTGTCAGCCTGACATTGATCTCAGGCAAAATAATGGAGTAGCTGATACGGGACTCGATTAATAAAGAATTAAAGGAAGATAATGTAATTAATACCAATCAATATCAGTTGGGTGGGCATTGAATGATCATCAGCAGCCATTGACCAGCAGGGGAATAGTAAACGGATTTACAATTCAATGACAGTTGTGCAAGCACCACACAATGGGGACTGCTCAACTTTATGACCAAGTTGCACAAGACCACACCAGGGGGATTGCTCAACCCTGTGACTTAACAAAGCCCACCAGGCATGCCTGAGCTAGTGTCTTCCTGGCACATGGACTGAGGATATAAAAGAGGGGGGGACAGTGGCATCATGCTTTGAGCCTTTCTCCTCCCCCGCCTACACTGGAAGCAACAAGAATGCTGGGAAAACAAAGACTTGAACTGAGGAGACTGGTCCCAGGCTTAAAGGGGAACCCTGTGTACTAAGAACTGTGTCACCTAGAGGGGTGACAAAACTGCTAGATCCAAATACTGCCCAGTCTAATAAGGTTTAAGATTTAGACTGTGCGCTTACCTTTTATTTTCGTTGGTAACTATCTCTTACCCATTGTGCTTACCAATTATAATAAAAATATATCTTTTTGTACTTAATAAATCTGATTTATATTTTACCTAAAACAGTGTGTGTTGGTTGAAGTGCTCAGCTCAGGTTACAAAGGATGATGTGTGCCCTCTCCACATAGAGGGAGGGGCACACTAGGTAATGAACTTACACTGGTCAGGCTTCTGACCAGGGCAAGATGGTACAGTTGTGGGGTCCAAGGCTAGGGACTTGGGAGATTTAGTGGTGCCTTTCTCTGTGTGATTTGTGAGTGGCTCAAGCAGCATTCATACAATCTAGCTGAGTGTGGGGCTCCACATGCGGTTGTGCTGAGTGATAACAGCACCTGAAGGGGTTTGCTGGTTGTCACTAGCAAAGCATTGTGAGAGAGAGACCAGCCTGGAGAGTCAAGGGGGCACAGCAGTACGCCAGTTCCAGTTTGTACCCTGGGGATCCTGTCACAATGACACAAAAATAGGGGGAGTGGTAAATAACGAAGAGGACCAGTCACTGATACAGAGTGATCTGCATTACTTGGTGTACTGGGTGCAACCAAACAATATGCATTTTAATATGGCTAAATGTAAGTTGTATGCAGCTGGGAACAAAGAATGGGGCATGCTATCCTGAGAAGCAGTGACTCGGAAAAAGATTGGGTGTTGTGGTGGATAATCAGCTAAATGTTATGCTGTAACTGAAATGGCCAATGCAATCTTTGGATGGAAAAACTGGAAGCTTGAGTAGGAGTAGAGAGGTTATTTTACTTCTCTGGATTTGGCACTGGTGTGACCTCGTCTGGAATACCGCGTCCAGTTCTGGTGTCTCCAATTCAAGAAGGATGTTGATATGTTGGAAGGGTTTCAGAGAAGATCCACGAGAATGAGTAAAGGATTAAAAAGCATGCTTTATGGTGATAGACTCAAAGAGCTCAATCTATTTAGCTTTACAAAGAGAAGGTTAGGGGGTGACTTGGTTACAGTCTATAAGTACCTACATGGGGAACAGATATTTAATAATGGGCTCTTCAGTCTAGCAGGGAAGGGTATAATACAGTCCACTAACTGGAAGTTGAAGCTAGACAAATTCAGACAGGAAATAAGCCATACATTTTAACAGAGAGTAATTAACCATTGGAACAACTTACCAAGGGTCATGGTAGATTCTCCATCACTAAACATTTTAAAATCAAGATTGGATGCTTTTCTAAAAGATCTGCACTAGGAATTATTTTAGGGAAGTTCTATGGCCTCTATTATATAGGAGGTCAGATTAGATCAGGGATCAGCAACCTTTGGCACGCGGCTCGCCAGGGTAAGTACCCTGGCAGGCCGGGCCGGTTTGTTTACCTGCCGCATCCGCAGGTTTGATCGGTCGCGGCTCCCACTGGCTGTGGTTCACCGCTCCAGGCCAACGGGGGCTGAAGGAAGCGGCAGCCAGCACATCTCTCGGCCCATGCCGCTTCCCGCAGCCCCCGTTGGCCTGGAGCGGCGAACCACAGCCAGTGGGAGCCGTGATCGGCCAAAGCTGCAGACGCAGCAGGTAAACAAACCGGCCCGGCCCTCCAAGGGGTTTACCCCTGGCGGGCTGCATGCCAAAGGTTGCCGATCCCTGGATTAGATGATCACAGTGATCCTTCTGGCCTTGGAATCTATTATAACATTCTGGGTTTAATAAAAAAGCACATTAAGAAATGCAGCATGTCGGAATCAATTTGCATTTTTAAAGGAGATTATCTGATTACAAAAATATTGTACAAATTTGTCTTCCTCTCCCAGTGCACCACCTGTGTCAGCATCCCCTCCTTGAATCCCCTCACTGGCTTTGTGTCTTCTATCACATCAGGTTTAATCTCTTTACCTTCAGAGCCTTGCACCATTATGGCCCTGCCTCTTTCTCCTGATTGTACCTTTCATCTCCTCCTGCACTATTACCTCATACACTTCCAGCAGCCTCCCTATTCTCATCTGCCAAATGCTCTCCCCTCTACTCCTTTGAAATGTGCTTTCATGAATTCTTCCACCATCAAATTCATGATCAGTGTTGTCACTTTGTCTCTCTCAGGATGAATTGTTCTTCTCTGTATTGTATCTGTACTTTAGGGTAGACCAAAAGAAACATCTTACTCATTTGTAAAGATGGGTCTGCTCTGAAAGTTCACCATAAATATTTAATAACATTCGCTAAGAGGACTCTCTTCTTCAATTCTTCCCTTTAGCTGGCCTGTGGACGGTATTCACATTAGGTGGAGTAGGAAGTAAACCAGCACCACAGCAGGAACAGTCATCACCGTTAGCTAATCAGAGCCTTCTGCTTCTGCTTGTGCTAGCTAATTTGACTGATGCTCCAGATACACCAAACCCGTACAGACAAGCTATTATGTCCTTCAAGAACACACAAGGTTTGTACCTTTTCTTAATCTTCTAGTGTGAAATGAAGCAACTGAGGCATTGTGTTATCCTGGCTTCTTAACCATTGCTCTTACCAAGGTGTGCTATAATACAGGTTCTGTCCTGTAAACCTAGGAAATGTACAGAAAGGGAGTTCCTCTTCCACAGATCCTGTGAAGTTCCTGAGCTGGCACGTCTCAGCCCATGAAACTTAAAAGACGCTGTGGTGGTGGGGGGGGGAGGGGTTAAACACTGAAAGGTACTGTGCAATTCAGTTTTGGAAAACGGAGTTTGCTTTCTTGCAAAGTTTTAAAAACCTTTTCTCTTCTGCATAGCTCTGGAACGTCACAAGATAGAAATAGCAATGGGAAGATAAGGGGGTGTGTAGCCGGGGGCAAGTCAGGTAGCCAGAAAGATCCTGTTGGCCTTAGGAACGAAATAGGGCATTGGGAGATCTGGGCTGCCTGGACCATACTTCCTTGTTTAGTTTTATATCCATAGATGTAAACTCGTTTGTAGCTGAGCTAGTTTGACACTTAGTTTTATACTCCTGACACTTGAAGCATTGAAGGGATGAGCTTGAAACTAGTTCGCTTATTTAAGTAGGAAACTTTAATCAGCTGAGCTGGGCCTGGAGCTGCTTTCATTCTGCAGAAAAGCTCTTAGTCCTCAGAGGGTCCTTGGGCTCATTTCATAATGTTATTGGTGGTGTTTTAAATGATATGCTGACTACTTGTAGTGTGTGTGTGTGTGTGTGTGTGTGTGTAATTTATTTAGACGCATTTTTAAGTGTTGGGAAACATTGTATCTGCATTGTACAATTAGAACAAACGAATTCTGCTCCTCCCATAGTTAACCATACAATTCTTCAGATTAAATTTATTCCTGTGGAAAAGCTAGGAGGCAGGGAAAACAAAAGGGAATGACAACACTGTTTACCCCTTTTTCCAGATCACCTATTCAACATATAAATTATCTGGAAAAAGGGGTAAACAGTGAGGTGTCAAAATTTGAAGATGATACAAAACTACTCAAAATAGTTAAGTCCCAAGCAGACTGTGAAGAGCTGCAAAAGGATCTCACAAAACTGGGTGATTGAATTTCATCTGCCATTTTGTTGCCCAATGTTGATAAATGCAAAGTAATGCACATTGGAAAACTATATTCCCAACTATACATATAAAATGATGGGGTCTAAATTAGCTGTTACCACTCAAGAAAGATCTTCGAGTCATTGTGGATAGTTCTCTGAAAACATCCACTCAATGTGCAGCGGCAGTTAAAAAAGCGAACAGAATGTTGGGAATCATTAAGAAAGGGATAGATAAGAAGACAGAAAATATCATATTGCCCTTATAAATCCATGGTCTGCCCACATCTTGAATATTGCATGCAGATGTGGTCACCCCATCTCAAAAAAAGATATATTGGAATTGGAAAAGGTTCAGAAAAGGGCAACAAAAACGATTAGGAGTATGGAACGGCTTCCATATGAGGAGAGATTAATAAGGCTTGGACTTTTCAGCTTGGAAAAGAGATGGCTAAGGGGGGATATGATAGAAGCCTAAAAAATCATGAGTGGTGTGGAGAAAGTAAATAAGGAAGTGTTATTTACTCCTTCTCATAATACAAGAACTAGAGGTCACCAAGTGAAATTAATAGGCAGCAGGTTTAAAACAAACAAAAGTAAGTATTTCTTCACACAACACACAGTCAAGCTGTGGAACTCTTTGCCAGAGGATGTTGTGAGGGCCAAGACTATAAAAGAGTTCAAAAAAGAACTAGATCAGTTCATGGAGGGTAGGTCCATCAATAGCTATTAGCCAGGATGAGCAGGGGTGGTTTCCCTAGCCTCTGTTTGCCAGAACCTGGGAATGGGCAATGGGATGGATCACTTGATGATTACCTGTTCTGTTCATTCCCTCTGGGGCACCTGGCATTGGCCACTGTCTGAAGACAGGATACTGGGCTAGATGGACCTTTGGTCTGACCCAATATGGCTGTTTTTACGTTCTTAACAAGAATTATAATGGAAGCTGTCTTGCAACTTTAACAATGTATAGGGTCTGAATATAATATGAGAATTAACTTTTTACTTTATGAAAATATCCTATCTAATTTATTGGGGATGAAACCAATTGTGTTCTAGAGAAATTACTCTGAAACCTGTAGAATCACAATTTAAAAAAAAAATACACACAACAAAAATAAACAAATCCCCCCCTATAGGTTTTCCATTCTGTCTTAAAAATTACTCTGTGCAGAAGAGCAAGTGTTATCTTGAAAGGCTGCTTTAATTTTTCCTGGTGTTCCAGACAGCTTACCTTCTCTGAAAATAAAGCTATGTCCAGTTCACTTATTGCAGCATTCTGGAAGCTCATATAGCAAGAAATATCTTTCTCCATGTATCCACTTACAAGTTTTTTATTTTAAATGGACATTTCTGAGCTGCTTATGTCTCAAATACACTTGAAAAGTCACATAATTAGTTCCACAAACATCATAGAAACACATAGAAACCAGTTTTCAACCCGTTTTAGTGTTACTTTCATAATATTCTGTTCTGGTTCCATTTCTACCTTCACCCTAAGTTATGCCATACACACCACGACCACCTGACACGATTTTCAAGGAGTTAAACTGTGCTTAGCTAATGTGATTTGAAACATCACTTATCTAATTTAAAACAACACACACCTTTCTTTCAAGGCCTATATTATGGCCATTGAACATAGATTACTTAGAGTATGTCTACGCTTAAAATGCTACAGCTGCAATACTGTAATTCTTCAGTATAGACACTCACCACAGCAATGGGAGGGGTTCTCCTATTGCTGTAGTTAATCTACCTCCCTAAGAGGCAGTAGCTAAATTGAGAGAATTCTTCTGTTGACCTAGCACTGTCTGCACGGAGGGTTAGGTCGGCATAGCTAAGTCTCTTAGGGGTATGGATTTTTCACAACTCTGAGAGACGTAGCTAAGCCAATGTAAGTTTTCAATGTAGACTAGCCCTTTGAAGGACTAATACTAACCAGCAAATACAGATATGATACTCCTAGAGCACTATAAACTAAACTCTGAAGTTGGGTCATTTTGGGACTGGAAACAAACCTACTCCTTCACGTTCCCTTGGAATTCTAGCTGTCAAGAAAGCCCTGTAGCTGCACTGTTACCCAGCATTTCATGAGATGCCTTCTTTTCTTACCTTAAGAGTCATGGGGTACGTCTACACTACCCGCCGGATCGACGGGTAGCGATTGATCTATCGGGGATCGATTTTTCACGTGTAGTGTAGACGTGATACATCGATCCCCGATTGCTCTCCCGTCGATTGCTGAACTCCAGCTCGGCAAGAGGCGGAAGCAAATTCGATGGGGTAGCGGCGGCCGTCGATCCCGAGCCGCGAGGACGCGAAGTAAGTGATTCTAAGTCGATCTAAGATGCGTCGACTTCAGCTATGCTATTCTCATAGCTGAGGTTGCGTATCTTAGATCGATTCCTCCCCCCACCCCCATAGTGTAGACCAGGCCAAGGAGGGGAATAAAGGGTGACAAGGCAGATTTGTTACAGGCATGACTGACTGTGAGTTGGAGGGAGGAGCAAGAAAGACTAATATGGGTATAAGGAAGGCTCACCAGTTCTCATGTGGGAGAACAATTGTAACTTTGACATAACTGACATTTTATAAGACTTGGCTAAGGTTTATTGAAACCAGTAAAAGTTGAACCAAGACTGACTAAAGATTATTTCTGCAGGTATTTAGCTCCAGTTCTTTCTGGGGTGCTCGTGTCAGACATGAAAGTGTCTGTAAAACAAACAGAAACCTAGGTGGTAAGTGATTTTTTTTCTTTTTTTTTTAAAATGTGTTTTTGGTTTCTTTATTCCAGATAGCACTGCTTTTCCTTCACCAAGTCCACATGCTTTCCAGATTAATTTTAACAGTTTGTACACCGCTTTGTGTGAGCAGCAGAAATCTGATCAAGCAACTCTCCTTTTATACATATTACTGCATCAGAACAGCAATGTTCGGACATATATGTTGGCTCGCACTGATATGGAAAACCTTGTAAGTATCGTACTGCATATTTAATACTTAATATTTGGCAATTGGGGTTGATTTGTGGAGGTTTGTGTATGGTTGTGTAATGTTCATATTATTATGCTCAGCATGTGACTGGATTAAGAGTTAGCACTAATAAGAGTATAAATCTCTGGAATGTTGGCAAAATTGATAGGGAAACTTAATATGTTTAAAATGGAGGGTGGGAGATTGGATAGAATAAGAGTGGCATGGGTGGGCCAAGATGAGAGGAGAGTTAGGACCGTAAGTGTTTAGTGGCCTGTGATATACAGGAAGTCTGGCTACATGATCTGGTGGTCCCTTTGCAACTTAAGCTCTATGACTCTGATATTTCTAACAGGGTTCCAAAAATGCATTTGCAAACTTACATGTGCAGAAACCTGCATTTGCACAGACAGATTCAGTATCAACATGCAGCTCTGCATGTGCTCGTATAATTGGACATGTTGTTATAGGCCTATATAAATTTGGCCCTTAGTGACATGATGGTCTTCCATTCTTTTTATATATAAATATCATTAGTTGGTATTTTTTAATGAATAATGTGAGGAGAAATCAAAAGGAAAACTTGGAATTCTTAGGAATAAACTGTGTACCAGACTTTCATTAGCCAGGAAACTATTAGTCGGCACAGATCTAAATGTGTTAGAGAGTCAACAGGTAAAAATTTGTGCCTATTAGTTAAAGGTGTGATGAATTGTCCAGTCTTCTTATGGTATTTCATAGAATAAGGAGCACAGCTTCGACAGTGGCCTCCAAACTGTTGCTGAGTTGTTATTTAACTGAGATAGCCTCTCCTCTCAGTCTTCATCTGACCATGGTGAAGCCACTTACTAGCTTTATCCCTCTCCTGGTTCAGGTGTCCTAACTACAGGAGCATGAGAGGTGGTGTTCACCCAGAACAGCTATTCTTCTAAGATCACCATCTTTTCTCTTCTGCTCTTCCCTTCCCTGCCCTGTTTGTGTATGCACACACCCCACATTTAAAATATGAGGAACAGACCTCTTCTGCTGTTTTCCCCCCCTCTCTGTTAAGGATCAGTAGTGAGCAAAATGCTGTGATCTTCACTCCAGGCTCTGAAACTATTCCTGCCTAATGATCCTTATTGGACAATTTCTCCTCTCCCCCTCACACACCACAGTTGGTTTGATGTAGCCCAAATCTGTTGACCTTCAGGATATGCTCAAGAAACTTGATCAGTTTTATTATTTCCAGTTAATTATACTCAGACTGCAAAGCTAAGTAAGTTTTAAACTGCAGAGTGTAACTACTTTGCTTATTAATGTAATGAAAGTTGACCTGCTCTGGAATACAGAAATAAAACAGGCAATTCTAAAGGTTCTTGGAGGGAGGCTGACAAAGTTTAGTTAGAAATGTTATGGTAGCAAAAACTTTCTCACTGCTTTGAATTGAGGTCATGACTTGGACTGGTCTGGAACTTTTTTCAACAAAACATTTTTTAGTCAGGAAAATGCTGTGTCAAAACTGAAATATTTTGTGGAAACGTATTTTGTTGGGGAGGTTTCTTGGATCTAGGATTGGGGTGAGGGTTAAAAAGAGACCTTCCCCAGAATACCCAATAGCTTGGTGACTAGGACACTAACCTGAGATGTTGGAGAGACCTAGATTCAAGTCCCTTCTCTGCATGATTCGGCTATTGGCTACTCTGGGGTTGAGGTGGTGTGTGGCTCTCTCTCTTGTTTTTTAATGAAAATTTTCAAAAGGTCTGTCTCATTCCAATGCAAAGCTGAAACAAATGCCCAAATCTTGAATTTTTTTATGAAATTAAATTTTTGTTTTCCAGCAGCCCTAGCCCTACCTGATCTGTGGTACTGTAGTATGGCAGTTTACAGAATAGCACTTTTTTTATATAGTGCAGATGTGCTGGCAATCCTTTATGCAAATGTTATTTTATAAAAATTCTTGTAAAGATGGGATTGGATGTCTCAGGGATTGGTAAAAGAAAAGAGAGCCTAACAACCTAGGCTGAATTTTAGCTAGCATCTGAAGGCTGTTTGGGGACCTGTATGAAATGTGTTTGGTCTCAGTCTGATTCCTAGTGGACAGATAAGGACATGATGAAAATTAGCACTCATAGGCACACTTGTTGGCAAATTCAGGAAGGAGGCCAGCTACTGAACTGCCAATGAAGACTGAACTCCTCTCTAACCACCCATAGATGAACAGTCTAGGTCAGGTCTGAGTCACTCTGGTGGATTAGTTCTGTGGATCAATAGAAACATTAAGTTTCCAGGCTGCCAATGTGACAGTAAGGCACTAAGTGTACTAGTTTTCTGTCTCTGTGGGGAAATATTAATAAGTTTAGGTTTTTTTGCTACTTTTTGCTGTTTTTTTTTTCTAATTATTGTATTTGGTATATTGTGGACTTTGGACATTTCCTTAGCGATTATATGAGTCAACAGTGCAACACTGTTGCAAAAAAAGCAAAAATCATTCTGGGATGTATTAGCAGGAGTGTTGTAAGCAAGACAAGAGAAGTATCAGGGGGGTAGCCGTGTTAGTCTGTATCTACAAAAACAACAAGGAGTCTGGTGGCACCTTAAAGACTAACAGATTTATTTGGGCATAAGCTTTCGTGAGTAAAAACCTCACTTCTTTGAGGTTTTTACTCACGAAAGCTTA